GCGCACACACACACACAGGACGGAATCCTCATTACCTTGAGCTCCACCTCCAGCCTGTGTCCACAGCAATCAGCAATCACCGCTGTTCTGCTGAATCAGCCTGCAGGGAGTGGTAGTGTGTGCAAAATGTTTGTGCTTTTCAGTGTGAGCAACTTAAAAATAGCACGAAAGCCACGAGGTTATCAATCACGGTGTGTGTGTGTGTGTGTGTGTGTGTGTGTGTGTGTGTGTGTGTGTGCGTGCGTGCGTGCGTGCGTGCGTGCGTGCGTGCGTGCGTGCGTGCGTGCGTGCGTGCGTGCGTGATTAATCGTGCATGTACAGGCGTGTGTGTATAAATGCATCCCTCGCCTCTCTTTATCCTCCCCTCGGTGTTTGAAGGTCATGGCTGTCTGTTGGGGCTCGTTACACTAACAAGCGCTCAGCTCACTCCCCAGGGCTCCGTCAATGGATGTAGTTTGGGCCAACAGAGGGATTACAGTTCACATACAGGGATACTTGGTATATCTGTGCCAGCGCCAGCCTCAGCACACTCCATCCTTCAATTTTTAACCAGGGTTTTTCTTTTTAAAACCCAACAGCCCTCTGAGGAATGCGTAGCGCCTTCCTTGCTTTGATGTACCTCCGACGTGAGATGGGAGTAAGAGCAGACGAACCCGTTTTGATTTTTGAAGGGAAATTTGGCCACTGCTGCAGCAAAAAAATTGAAATAGGATATAGAAGATGAAAATACTGACATAAACAAGCAAAATCCTCATTATGTGGACACCAAGTGTGTACTGGCTGGAAGGCAGAGACAGATTTGCATGTTTGTAGTCAACAGATTTGTAAATTTACAGTTCAGTGCAATGAGCAGGTGTGTAAATGAGGAAATGTGGATTGTGAAATTATCAGCTTTGCACAGCGGATGTGCAAACTTCAATGCTGTACTGCTCCCACTGCACACTGTAAATATAGGCGAACATGGACAGAAATATGTCCGATAGTGCAAATGTCTGTAATTGGCCACTGACGGGTTTTTGAGACGACAGGCCCCTGGGCACAGACATGTAAAAAAAAAACACCGCTCTCCCACAGAGGAGCAAGCTACTCAGGCTACATCCATACTACGTTTTCAAACAAACACGATCTCCATCCACGCGGCGTTTCAGCACCGTTTTCGAGATGATCTCCATACTAACGCGCCTGAAAACGAATATCACGTGACTCTTCACGTACACTGGGCATGCGCGTGGGTGTCGATGTAAACAGGAAGTAGATTGGTTTCTTAGTTTAAAAAAATACGACAGAGTAATAAAGTAGTCTTTAATAATGAAAGGTCGTGTTTGATACGATCTTCTCTAAAATCTTCCTCTATGAACTCAAACAGACAGTTCGTGGAAAGTTTTAGAAGTTTTATTTTTCAGACTTAGTTACAGCACTGCAGGTCTTGTTCTCTCTCTCTCTCTCTCTCTCTCTCTCACATATCAAATTTACTTTAAAATCAACACTTACACGTAACAGTTTGCTAGATCATGGGTCCATAAATATGGTCAACACACGTGTCTCACTCGTTTCCTCGGCGTTGTCTGTTCTCACTCGTAGCTCTGCTGGTGGCTTAGCTATCTGTCCTACTGAATAGCATCTACTGCTAACCGTGACTTCAGACGTCCGCTCCGTAGGACTGATAACGCCGCTGGTCGCTGATCGCTCCATTAACAGCTGCTTCCTCTGTAATAATGCAAACTTTTACTGAACAACAGCTGCTAATAAAGACAACAAGGTCAGCATCGCCTGTAATCAGTTGTCCATGTTAAATTAAGCTGGTAGTCGATCGGTATTCAATGTTGTCGTTTGTGATCTTCCGGGTAAGGGTCAGGTGATAGGGGAGTGACAAATCAGGGAAGGACACGTCATGACTGCTAAGAACCAATCAAGTAGCGAACGCGGGTGTGGGCGTCATAGTTTCTAATCGTATCCGGTTTCGGACGTCCACGTTTTCAAACTTATCCGTTTACAGTGCTCTAAACCTCCGGCGTAGTGTGGACGCTCAGTGTAAGGGTAGCAAAACATATGGGTTTTTAAATGGAAACGGAGTAATGTGGACATGGCCTCAGAGTGGAGGCTAAACAAAGACTTTTGTGCCTCTTTGTAGTCGTTTTGCATCTCTTTGTGCTTGTTTGGTGTCACTTTGTAGTCGTTTTTACATCTCTTTTGCATTGCTCTGTGGTCAATTTGGTGATTTCACTTCTCTTCGTGGTCATTTTGGGTCTCCATATGGTAGTTTTGAGTCTCTTTGTAGTCATTTTATGTGTCTTTGTGGTCGTTTTGCATCTTGTAATGGTCGTTTTGTGTCTCTTTGTCTTGCATCTCTTGGTTGTTTATACAGTATGCTTCTCTTAGTGGTTATTTTGCATCAATGGTCGTTTTGCGTCTCTTTGTGGTCATTTTGCAGGTGAACCACAGGGACCCCCTGACCCCTCCGGCCCCTGAGCCTGTACCCGGTAGACGCCTTCAGTAATCCATCCACACCCCATATCCCACTACATTATTTGTCACTCACAAACATAAGCACTGACCATTACTCACACTTTTTTTCTACACATTTGGAAATGTGTAGAAAACCGTACGGTGTGCATAATTCTTTTTTACATTTCATTATAATTATATTATTTGAATGTGACTAATGTAAGTACATTTTTTGTGATTTAAAAGTAGTGCTGCAACCAGGGCTGTTACTAGGATTTTAGTTTTAGGCTCAACAAGAGATTGCGTTGACATCAGGTCTCCGGCTCTTAATAATTAGTAGAGTTATATAGTCCTAGCTAATTATTACAAAATTACGGGTCCGTAAAAAAGGGCATTACTGTTTTCATGAAGGTCTAAATGCTAAACGATGCCAGGGATACATTTTCTCATGGTGAAATGCTAGTTCCTGGGGGAAAATGACTGAATACTGAAACTGGAATTAGGCTTAAAAAAAGTAAATAGACAAAAGTAATTTTTTTAATTACTTAAAAAAATTTCAGAACCCAGATACTCAACTTACAGTGATATAAAAAGTAGCAAATGCTCACATTTGAGACGCTGGAACTCTTTTTCTTGACAAATGACAATCAGTTATCAAATTGCTGTCAATTGCGAATCAAGTCATCGAGTAATCAGTGCTGAGCTGCTCGTAAGTTCAATTCAATTCAATTTATTTTAGTATAGCCCAAAATCACGAATCCCAAATTTGCCTCAGAGGGCTTTACAATCTCTACACGTACGACATCCTCTGTCCCAGGACCCTCACATCGGGTGTAAGGTTACAAATTGAAAAAGGTAAAACAGTGTATCAACAATAATCAAAGCATATTCACGTCGATCTTCACGTCGTATGATTAATTACTTGTAAAGTTAACAGGTAAGGTCTACTGATGCACTGTATAGAAATGTATCCAGTGTAAACATGCGTCGTTCTCATCATGAGCTCTCCTGATGGCAGTAACACATGTTCATCCATTAACATGAGGCAGATGACGTGTGGAATAAACTGCCATTAAATCCTTGGCTTTCTCGTTAGCGGTCCCACTTCTTCCCTTGTCGATCCTGTGCCGTCCTTCAGCGCTTTTTCCATCCAGAGTAATTGGAGAGAGTGTGTTGGCGGGGGCGGAGTGTTGCACTGGCTGCTCCCACTGAGCTGCTGCCAGCAGCTACCACTCTGTATCGAGTTGTGTAAAGAGCTGAGATCCAGCCAAGCAAACGCTGAACTGTGGCTTCGCCCTTGGCATATAGTCACGGCTCTCATCATTTATCCCTGTAGCTTTCTCCCGCCTCCTCGCTGCAGTAGCTTGTTTAAAGTGATGGTTTCCAAAGTGGCGTCCTTGAGGATGGGTCCAGGGTCCACGGATAAAACAAAGAGTAGTTAGGTTTCACTCTTGCATCAATCACAAGAATACCGCCCAGAGAAAGAGCAAGCCTTCTGATCATAGGCGTGTTTTCTCCACCATTAAAGAAATACAAAGCAATACAATCAAACAGAGTTGGTGAATTTTATTCAGAATAAGGGGGCAAAAGCCACCTTTGCTATCTATATATCACCATAATATGTACAAAAGCAAAAGCGAGACTGTTTAAAAAATAAAATAAAACAATAAAACAATCTTCCCTTTCCAAACTGACTTCACACTGACTTTACTACAAAATAGCTTTTTGTAAGAAATTTTGTAGCTTTTCACTACAAAATAGCTTTTCTAGGTGGTGGAAATGTAACTTTCATGGTTTTAAAATAAATGATGTAAAGAGAAAGAACTGACCTTGCTGGCAGTCAAAGATTGTAAATTAAAGTTTTTCGGGCCACATTTCTTCGGGTTGCTGTTCCGCAGTTGGACATTGGGATAAACTGACAGCAAGGCAGCTATGCGACAACGTACCCAGCTCTATTAATGCATCCATGCTGTGTCCCATTCACCCGGCTTTCAAATATGTTGTCTAATCATGGTGTCTTTAAAGCAATTGATAAAAGAGAATCGTGGAAAATGAAGGGGGATTCAACGGGTCAAAGATCCTTTAACTGCCTCCATCATGGAGGTTATGTTTTCGGTTCGATTTGTTTGTCTGTTTGTCAGAAGGTTTGCAAAACTACTTGTCCGATTTTCATGGAATGTGGTAGAAGGATGGTCTACGGAATAAACCATTACATTTGGGAGAGGATCCGAATCATTTTTTCACTTTCATTAACATTGCGAGATAGGGCATGGCCTTGGTGGAGGTCTGCAATCCCTGAGTGCCTTTCTACAGTAGTTACCACTTGTGGATAGCAAAAGTTGGATAGCGTTAACTTTAACACCTGTATTCCAGTAGAAGAATACTACATATTTAGAGTGTCAGTATTCTTGAGGATGAGAGTCTATGTTCTTGAGCAACAAAGGTCTTAACTGATTCCTCTCAACAAGTTTGTCTCGTTCCTTCCTTCCGTTTGACTGGGCTGGTTGGTGTGATTGATCCTCAGTTAATAGTTATGTTTCCTCTCTGTTTTGCAGTCATGCGGAGGAACCCCTTTGTAGTGGATGGCTGCTGTAGGAAAGGGTCCCGCAACGCCCTGCAGGAGCTCTACAACCCCATGCAGGTAGGAGGCTGACATGCTCGTTCAACTGCTCTCTCTATATGTATCTCTATGTCTATCTCTCTTGACCCTCATTTCTTCCTATTTGTACTCGCCTCCAGCTGTCAGAGGTCTGACCCAAAAAGGCCGTTTGAGGCTCTTCCCCAGCTGACTTCAGTTAAGCATTTTTCATCTATGCCTGCCTGTGTGCAAGCCTCCTACCGAGTTTTTTATAGCAACGTTGACCTGCCCATGAAAACTCCAGGGGGTAGCATTAGCATAATGGCTGTCCATCTTTCGTACGGTAGTCAGGAAGCGCTACTGGCCCGAGGCGATAAAGCCATCTTCAGGCTTTCGCGAATGAAAACGGACAAACAAGGGACAAACAAGGGACAAGCAAGGGACAAACAAGGGGCAAACAAGGGGCAAACAAGGGGCAAACAAGGGGCAAACAAGGGACCGAGGTTTTGCTGAAGTCTAACAACTTATTTCTCTCAAGGACAGAGAGGAAGAAACAAGGCAATTCAACTAAAGTATTAAGCATCAGCAGGTGGTATTCCTCACTTGTCTCTGCGAATAGCGGGGTTATTATTGCACTGTCAGTGTTTGTTCCAGCCACTGACGCCTCACATCATTTAGCATTCCACAATCCCATCTGAGTAGCCATCTGAGAGCATGACACCTGCTACATAATTGCCGGCAGGAATTTAATGCGTATTATGGGTTGCAGCTTCAATGACTTATCTGCTTTATTGGGCAGTTTATTGTACAGATGGGAGAGAAATGGAGGATTTCAGAATGAAATGGAGATAGGGACAAAGGTCTAGCAAGAACACCCTCTGTTAATGGTTACTATCAAAGCTGAACAAGGCAAGATTAAAAGAAAAAAAAGAAGAAAAAAAGTGTCCCATCCACAGTATTGATTTATTGTAATTATTAAAAAGATCTTAAAAAGTGTATTGATGGCTTCACACAATTCTGCCCATTACCTACAAAACTTATGTATTTTGCGTTTATTACTGCTGACGGCTTTCCAAAGCACCTGATACTTTTAGGATGATTTCCTACCTTCCGGGCAGCCATATTTTGACAAAAAGGCTTTGCTGGCAGCCAACTCTATTTAGATGTGGCTGCCAAAAAAGTATTGCATTCATAAGCTGTATGAAAAAATAAATCTAATTTGGAGGACAAAAAGCAAATGTTGTAAAAAGGATAATGCTAACTGAGTCATTGATAACACAAAAGCCCCTTTGTGTTGAATTTTGTCGTGATTGCAGATTTCTTTCAAGTTTGTTTTTTGATGGCATCTGAAAATTAGCCCAGAGGCAATCTGTGCAGTCTGTGGGTGGTTTTAGCTCATTGATTCTCAGTACAGGGAGGTGGAGGCACAGTATTGTCAGCTGCACAACAATACATATGTTTTCCCAGAACAATAACAAACAATCAAAGATTTGCATGCAAAAACCAACAAGTTCTCACTCTTAACTCATCAGTGGCCCAACGCTTCAAATTATAGCACTCTATGTACCCATCTGGTGTCAGTTTTGCACGTGTCATTTTCTGCTCGTTACATGCATGCACTGTCTCTTTAAAATAAACTTCCGTGTTCCAAGGAAACAACTTGGTTAGGTTTAGGAAAAGATTGTGGTTTGGTTTATAATGAGTGTTTTTGTTACGTAGTTATGTAGGCTATATTACGTAGTCGAGGTAAGTAACGTATGTTACCCTCCAATGTGGCTGAATTACAACAATTCTGCAAAGATGAGTGGGCCAAAATTCCTCTACAGCGCTGTAAAAGACTCATTGCCAGTTATCGCAAACGCTTGATTGCAGTTGTTGCCGCTAAGGGTGGCCCAACCAGTTATTAGGTTTAGGGGGCAATCACTTTTTCACACAGGGCCATGTAGGTTTGGATTTTTTTTCCCCCTTAATAATAAAAACCATTTAAAAACGGCATTTTGTGTTTACTTGTGTTATCTTTGTCTAATATTTAAATTTGTTTGATGATCTGAAACATTTAAGTGTGACAAACATGCAAAAAAATAAGAAATCAGGAAGGGGGCAAACACTTTTTCACACAACTGTGTGTTTGTGTGTGTGTGTGTGTGTGTGTATATGTGTGTGTGTGTATAATGTGTATATATATATATATATAACCTATGGCTTGTACACTTTTTTCGACCACATCTTTTCCTTCCCTTCGCCTCTCTATTAATGTGCTTGGACACAGAGCTCTGTG